TAACAACAATTTGCAAGGAGCCACGGACATTTATAGTAAAACAGCGCAAAATGTCGCTTTGAAACTAGCAGCCTTTCTAGGCTACCACCCCTTTGGGCTAATAAATTAAAATAACAGTAAATAAAAAAAACTTATGCAGAATTAAAAATAAATTTTAAAAAATAATCACTATAAAATACAAGCAAAATTAATTATTCCGGTTAAATACAATTTTAATATTAGAATCAAATTTATAAAATTTTTAAGGAGTCAAAAGTCTTTATCACTATGATGTATTATGAAATATAATTGAAATAAAACTCCTTTACAGAAATTGTGCTATAATACTCATTCTAAATCGTGCTGCTTTTTTTGAAATTATAGTTTTAAAAAAGCAGCACAATTTAGAATTTTAAACAAAACTTTTAAAAATTCATTTTTTAATATTTTAGTATTTTTTACTTATTTGCACCAATAAAAAACCATAAAAATTGCAAGAGAAAATTGCTTGTTTGAAATTTTCTATTAGTTCAGATTTAAAATATTATTTTCTAAGAGAAGTAGTTACAAATTTCCTTACAGCATAGGAAAAGCTAAAAAAATATTCAGTCCTGAAAGCATAATTATTTGGAACGTTAATTATGCTTGATAAATATGCTAAATTTTTAAAAATCAATCTCACTTTCGAAAATAAAAATATGTAGAAATTCTAATTTGTGAAATGGGGCGCTAGAACCAGCTTTTTCTTGACAATTATACACGCTGCAATAGGCAACCAATGTTAAATTTCTGCAGGTCGTCCCTACTCCTCCGGATGTGATCAAGGTGACAACCGGCAACGCCTCAGAAGAGGGAGAAAACCCGTTTGGGTTGGGGGAAATTCTCGCAAACAGGTTCTGTCGCCAAATCCCTTGGCGTATAGTTCCTTTTCTTTCTAGTGGCGTAGAAGACAAAGAATCTCTCTTTGTAGAAGACAAACTGGTTTACATTACGTCTATGGAGGCAAAGAATCTGTAAGGGGAGAGAAATTCTTTGATGCCGGTTTCTTGCCTGCTATTTCGCACATGTGCAGAAAGGTACGGAGGGTGGATGGATTGCCCCTTTAAAATAAGCTTCAGGGACATACACAGTGTCTCTTCAGTTTGAAGGAGCCACATTTGCCTCGGGAAACCTTTACTTCTTCTCCTTAGAGATTCTTTAATGGAGACTTTCCTTCTTTACATAGACTTTCTTTGCATTAGGCACGTACACAAAAAGAACAACACATGGAAAACCACATTTCCTACACAGACGTTATTTATAAAATTTTATATAGGTGAAGAAAGTACGAGTATTAAACGCTGAAAATATAAAATATTCACTTACTTTCTTCAAATAATTAGTAACATCGATGGATTCAGTCACAAACGCCAATCCACGAACAAACAGTATTCTTTGCGACTTTACCATTCTTTTCGACCGCCATTTCTGACTTCACAAATATCCCGCCACAACCGGAAGTAGAAAGTGTTTGCTTTGCCATTGGTCAGTGAACAAGAATTACAACGCTTTTTTTTTCTTTATAATTAAACATATTAAGAAAGCCTCTAAATTAGCATATGAAATAAACCTACTTTTGCATTATATAAATTTATATTCACAGCATCCCTATATTAAGGTAATAATTCAATTTTTCTATGAAAAATAAAAATGGTCTGTGTATGCGCATGCTCAGTGTATAATCGAAAATCCGGTTAATTTTTATAAGTTAGCGTAAAATTAACTATGCAGATTTTGAGTTCATTTAACTGGACCTTTGTACTTATCTGTAGATCTCCATATTAAGAATGTCTTTAACTGTTTCAGGAAAAATATAAAATATAATATAATTATTTTTACATTATTTATTTATTTATTTTTTCCTCGTATAAAAATTATTAAAATCGCTATATCATTTTTCCCGTACATTAAACAAAATTAAAAAATGTTATCCTCATGTGATTTTTATAACAAAGATTAAAGGAACTGAAATATATGCAAAATATCAGGATTCAGCTTGCAATTTCGTAGAGTTATTATTATTATTATTAAATAAAAATATTAGTATATCTTTGATTATAGTTAATGATCCTTTGGTCTACATTAAACTATTGTTCAAGAAGTTAAACATTTTCAAGCATCTTCTGCTCTATTTATTCTATTCCTCAACATGAAAGATTTGCTAGTCTTATTCCTATTTAAATGCCCACATTTGCTAAATAAAATAAGGCGATTATTGTACCAAACTCAATAAGTACACAAATTTAATATACAGCTTATTTCAGTTAAATGGGTAATAGGATTTTCATAAAAGAAATTAAATTGTGTAAATTAATGTAAGTGTTGATATGAATAAAAATAACAAATTTGATATAAGAAAATGAATAAGTTATTTTGGAAATCTTTAAATTAAGAAAATATAATTTTTTGAGAAAATGCACGTAAAGATTTAGCTCACATTTTAAAATTCATAGAAAAATTTTAGCCTCATATATGAATGCCCCTTTTTCCATGTTCGTGGAAAAGGAAAACAAAGTGAAATGCCAAAAATGCACTAAATATTTTGAATTAATAAAATTCATTTTCAATCTTTTTAGACTTCGTATAATATCCGTAAAAGTGACGAATGAAATATACCATAAGGGCAGTAGTTTCTTTCAGAACATTCAGATTCGTATAATATACGTAAAAGTGACGAATAAAATATACCATTATGGCAGTAGTTTTTTTCAGTAAATTCGGATTCGTATAATTTTCGTAAAAATAATGTGTGGAAAATAACGATAAAGAGTCAACAGTAACTTCAGCCTTTTCATTCGTATAAATTTCGTAAAAGTAACATGCAAAAAATACCATACGCTTATTTCACCAAAATTATACGTATATTTTTGGAGACGTGCTAGTAGTGCCTGGGTAGTATATGGTTAATAAATTATAATAATGCAAAATCAGCATGTGGGGAAAATATTATGAAAACATGTTACTACGTGATTGAATATCCTTATGTGCAAGTAAGAATAAATTTTCATTACTAAAATAGAAAATATAGATGAACACTTTCGGAGTAACAAGACTTAGCCTAAGAAATTATCTAGTTGCATAAGATAGCTTTACTTGTTACAAATATGCAGTTTGTTTAATCATAACTGTAACTCAACCTATATAAAAATCGTAATAAAAAAAGGAATAATTAAAAATGTTGCATGAAACACTTTTTTTACAATTTTTAGCGTTTTTTTGAAATGAACACCATTTATTATTATTTTCATTATTTATATTCTGCATTGTTAAGAGTGGTGCATGGATGTTAGTTATAAGTAGAAGCAAATTGATTTCAGCAGATGTACTAATAAATTTTCTGTATTTTAATAACATTATATTTTTATATATTCTTTGAAGTTTAGAAGAGGACTTATTATCTATACTTTTTTATTGCATAATATATCTAAATTTTTTGTTCTATGAATGTTTACTTGTGCTATATCTTCCTTTCCTTTTATTTGGCACACAATATTAATTTTCAACATATTTTAAATTACAACTTCTTATCTAATAAATTTGCATGCAAAATAATAGTTTTAAAATGATAAGTAAAAATAGGCATTATACTAATTATATTTTTAAAAATATGTACATTTGTATTATTTTACTAAAGTGGAGTTTAATATTTTGTATCATTATATTGCATCACATTTGTATTTTTTAATTAAATTTTTAAATGAATTTTAATTGAAAACTATTAATGAACTTTAATTTTAAGGCATAAAACTTGGTTTGTCTTGCTGCATGTTATTATAATTTTGAAGTTGTAGAAACATAAATACGCTGTAGCTGAATATCACTGCTGTCAGTTGGTTGCTATTTCACTCATTAATAGTAACAATGCCTGATACCTAAAGTGTTCAAAACCAGACATGTGATTGTCTGCCTGTGTTGTAACTATCAAGCAGTACATTTTTGCGACTATGAAATTGTCTTATTTCTGTATTTTGGAAAACACCCTCCTCTTTGAAATGATCTTTTTAAAAGCAGCATGAATTCTGTATCCTCTTGCTTGTCTTTGGGGTGAGAATTGTTTGGTATAAATGTCATATCATGACTCATTACAATACTATTGATATTTGTATCCAGTTAATAATAATTTATATCTTTTTTAGTATATCCAGCCTTGATACCTTTAACAGAAGTGTCATCCAGTTTGTGCTTCTTCTCCTCTGTCATATGCACATTTGCTTGAGTACCAAACACATCTATCCCTCGATGTACACGATTTCAGTTTTACACAGTTTAAAAATTAATGGATTTCAAAAACTCGGTAAAAATGTATGTTTGGCTGCATATATGCAAATATGTATATTTTAAGTCATTTTTGAATCTCTCTTTAGTAACACTGGTGCCAACAACAAGGATGGGGATTCCCCATGTTGTAAAAGGGGAATCCTTGTAGTGTGCATAGGTATTTCACAACAATAAAGCTATTTTGTTCATATAAACTAGTGCAGTATCAGTATTGTAGCAGCAAGGCTTATATAATTTTTATCTATATATATGAATGTTTACTGATAAGTTTTCAACCTTTATATTGTTTGTGGCATTTTAAAATTTACATAAATTTTTGAATGTTTTATAATGCCAAAAGATTTCAAAAAATCAAATAAAAAGAAAAGCTATGTTTTCTTTTTATTTTCTTTTTTCTAAGCTTTAGAAACAAAAATTTAAATATTAGATCATTTACATATAAGAGAAAGAGTAACAGATGTTGCTAAATTTTACTCCATGAATGTAGCCACAGTAAGGAAAATTAGAAAAAATGAAGACTCTAGTAGAAAAAATGTAGCAGCTGGTACATAGAACATAGAACTTGCAGCAGTAAGAGTGCTATTTCATATGTAAGAGATGATACAGTGGAAAATATGGAAAAGGCATTATATGGATATGTGTAGAAGACTAAAATCAAAACAAGATTCCAATAGCAATGCTCTGTTGAAATTCAAAGGTAGCAAAATGAAACAAACTTACACTTTTTGTCACAGTGGTCTGAAAGAAAAGCGAAAGACTCTTATAAAAAAATTAATCATAGTTTCTCGAGAAATAAGAGGTTAAAGTATAAAAACAACAACATCATATGCTGTAAAGAATTATTGGTGTAGTTTGTGTATCATAGGCAGTACCATCCCAACTGTAATGCTAGACGTGATAAATGTATGGTACTGCAAAACACATTTGAACTTCCGTGAATAAAGAGAAATTAATCTTTTAAAGAAGAAATGTATTGGTCTCCTACTTTCCTTAAGCAATGATAAATATTCTGATTACAATAATTAACTTCCTCAAATTAATATTCTGAGAGGGAAAAATTTCATTAGCATTTATTTTTCAAATAGCCTTTAAAATGATCTCTATTTTAAAAATTTATTTCTATTAGTATTTGAATTTTCTATTAAGATCTAAATTTTTAAAAAATCATTTGTATCTTCAGGATGTCACTAATGATGTAGAGGAGGAGCAAAGTGAACCTGACAGTGACATGATGGTTATTGAAGAGGAGGTAATTTTCCATTCTTTGTAGAAAACGTTTATAACAGTTATTTGTAGTTTATAATACATCCAAACTTTTATTTCCCATATTTCCAATTTTTTTTACTGTAATCTAATGGTTATTTATTGCAATATTTTTCAATGCAATACTTTCCAATTTATTAAATACTTTCGCTCTGTATATTCTTTTCTTTAAAAAAAAAAAGGAAAGAAAGAAAAAGAAGCATGAGTTTTTAATCTGGCTACAAATAAACTGAGAATTCAATAAAGATAAATATTCTATCTGCATGCAAAAGACAGGCAGAAATGCTTTGGGCTAATCTTCTTTTTTTTTAAATGTAAGTCAATCAATGAAAAACCAGTAATTTTAATGAATTTTTCCCTCTAGCAATTTAACCATGATATGCTAACCTGTTAAAACCACTTGCCTGTCTTCTAAGGTGACACATACTGATGTGTAGAAACCACACAGGAGAAGAGTTAAAAGTGCCCTTTATTAAACTCTTTAAAACTCACAATGCGAGGACTTGATGCTAACACACTACTCCTCATTCGGGCGGTAACTCAAATAACAAGAACTGAAATAAAATTCAAAGATATTAACAAGTCATATAAATTACTTTACTGGACTCAGATACTCTTGTTACTTAAAGCCGCTTCGAAATCTAGTTGCAGCAAAGTATGTTATGCCGCATTAACCAGCAATAAATGCAGAAATAGAAGCTCACACTACAGAGGAAATGGCACTTACCCAAACTCTTTAACTTTCCCTTCTACAACTCAGTATTTAAACTTTTCCTCTTCAAGGTAGAATTTGCATTACTTCACATGTGCTACCAAATTTAAATATTCTGGCATTGACAGTTAGGAAAATGAAGGCTTATAGGAAAGAATGTAAAATTCAACTAAATTGGTTATTTAAAATAAATACCTACAGTTGCCCCTGCCAGAATTTAGCAGACTTGGATAAAGGTCCTTAAAGACCTGATTCAAACTGTTAAATTCTATATCTAACAGGCCCTGAGCCCCATTTACACAGTACGAAACTTAATTATAACAGAAATGATTTTTTTTCCTCGTTTTGTTCCCATGAATGTGCTCATTAGGACATTCAGTCTTATCCTTCCAGTCATTTGGAAGGAATAACTATGAATACATGTGTCTGTCAAACAATAAATAACACTTTATTTTCACAACACATTAACCCTTTTATTGAATTTCTAACTCTCTTGTATTTACTGTAGCTTTCTCAAGTTTTCTGAACATTATGGTTTCTACGGGTTACATTTGCTCATTACACATTCATGCTTTAATTTAAACTTAGTCCCCTTTTGGCTCTCCACAGTGTGTGGTGAAAATCTTAGTGCAGTATCTCAAAGTGAAAAAATGCTGCACCTAAATACATATCAACTTGTTAGCACATGACGACCTTCATAGACACAGCCCTAAATTGACTTCTTAATCCCCCATGAGCTAGTAAACATGAAAATTAACTAGAGTGTAGGTGGTGAGCCCTACAAAATGCATGCATAAAAAAAAATTTCGCACATTCTAGCTTAAACGCACTCAAACTTTCGCTTGAAAATGCATGATTTGATTTGACTTACTTTTTGTTTCTGCCATTTCATGATTTTCTTAATATATTAACTTTTAAATACATTAACTTTACATCTGAGGTTTTTAGCACTAAATAATTATTATATATGCTCTTTGAGATTTAAACCTACGTTTGCAGCACCATTAACTTTAACATAACAGATATTTTTATATTTTACAATCAAATACTTTTATCACAATAGAGAATAAAATGAAAATTTTACTTGAATCCTTTTCTCGCCAAAAGTGCGAACCTAAAAACAAATTTTCATTAACAAGTACTAATACGAAGCTGCTTGTATCAGGCCAGAACTGTTGGCATTTTAACAGAAATAGTCTTTCGACTAACAAAACAAACTACTAGTTCTTTACATTAACAATCCATTTTTAGAATACACTATAGCTTTGTGCTTTAGCCAAGTAAAACTAAAATAAATTTAGTCCTTAACTGAGGCAAATTGACTTTACATAGTAACTTTGTAATTTAAGGTAACTTTACAAAACAGAAGAGATTTATTGAAAAATTCACTTGCCTTTGTTTTTTTATTGCTTGGTACTCAGCCATCCTTTTATTGCAGAATTCCTTCCAAGTTGTGTTATTCACGCTGGCGATTTTCAATCTCTGCCTTCTTTCCACTGGTTGAGGTTCGCCCTGCCCTTTTTCCCTTCTGAGCATCCTTCTTTTCGGCTCCAATGGTGCTGTCTCCTGTCTTTTCCTTTTGCTGGAAGGAGCGCTGGTTCTTGGAGTGCTGGAAGTCGGGGGGACTCTTGGTTGCGGTTGCTTTGGTCCTTGCTGTGGCCCTTGACCTTTAGGTGATCTCTTCTTCATTTTACCCACCGATGCTCTTGTTTCTACAATTCTTTCCATGCACCTCCTCCTTGACGTATTCTGGGGTTGTCTACTGCAAGACCTTGTCAGGGCATGGGCATCCTTGTTCCTAGCAGGGTTCTTGCTTCTTGACGATCCTTCACAATTATATTTTTTTCCTGCTGGACCTTCCATCTGTGGCAGGGTTCTTTTCTGGGAACTTCTTCGGCCTGTCTAAAGCCTTGTCATCTGGTCCGTTCTTTGTCTTTTTACTGATGGTGGAAGCACTTATGGGGCCAAAGGTGCCCTTGGGGGAGGCTGCCGCCTCTTCTGATTTGGAAGCCAGCAAGAAACTATTCAACATATCAAAGGCTTTATGGTCATAAAATTTCTTTAATTGATTTGGACTGGCCTTTATTCTTTCATCCGAATCTGAGGTAATATAAATAACAGCACCAACAATTTGTTCTATCACATATAGCCTTTCAGACGTATGGGAGAATTTCGCTACAAAGTTCTCTGGTTCACTAGACAGCATAAATTTTTTTTCAGCACCTTATCCTCCACTTTAAAATTTAATTGATGGCATCTTCTATCATAATACTATTTTTGCTGCCCTCTTGTTACATCAGAATTCTTCAAAGTTTCATCAATCAGCTTTTGAATGTTTTGCTGTTTAAATTCCGGCTCCCATTCTTGGAAGTTATCCAAAAGTGTCAAAAATCTTCCTACCCAGAAATAATTCAGGGGGCATTTTACCCATCGTATCATGCTTGGCAGTTCTTAAAGCATAGGCTAGTTCATCAATGCAGCCATCCCAGCTTTTCTGATATTTTTTAACATAACTTCTAATAATGTTTTTATTAACTCTTTCCATGATGTTTGCATGTGGTCTGTTCAGGACCATTTTCATATGCTGTATGTCAAGGTCTTTACACAAATTTTCAAAAATTTGACTAACAAACTGTTTACCATTATCACTTAATTCTTCTAACAGTACACTGTATTTTAAAATATACTTATGTAAAAACACATCTGTGACTATTTTAGCTGATGCTCGCTTAAACGGAATTATTTCTATCCACTTAGAAAAATCATCAGCAATCACCAAAAGATATCGGTTTTTATTTAACTCATTTAGGAGAAAAGGGCCAAGAAGGTCTATTTCAAGAATTTCATTAGGAAAAGTTGCATGAATACTATTTAGATACTCGGCCGAGTTATTATTAGCCTCGTTAATTAACTGACATAAATTACAGAACCTCACATATGCTGTCACTATTTTCTATAGTTGCGGAAAATACACCACCTTGCATACCCTACTCACTGTTTTCCTCACCCCTAAGTGGCCAGCCGCTGGTGCGTCATGCAGTTCCTGCAAAATGCTTAGCCATAATGTGGCTGGGATGACTGGCCTATATTTGTGGTTTTCATTTATTGATTTAGTATAGAATAACAAATTATCTTAAATCTCGTAATTTTGGGTCGTATTTCTAATTGCAGCAAGGTCTGCATGTTCAAAATTATCAGAATCCCTTAAATAAGTATAGATATTATCAAATCCTGGATCCTTTATCAACTCAGAAGTTATCGTTTCCCTGGAATCTAAAACTTCAGATGTTAACATAGCACATTTTAGTTGATCACCGTTTTCATCCAGTTTGATTCTTAATAACACGTCAGCCACAGTATTTTCCTTGCCAGGAGTATGCTTAATTATTAACTTGTAACTTAAAGGCCCATCTAATTAGTCTGGGAGTTAAATTTTTTCCAGAATATAGTCTAGGCTGCATGGTCTGAATAGACAGTAATCGGTGTTTTCCCAAAATAAACTCTGAACTTCTGAGCTGCCATTAGCATGACTAACATTTCTTGTTTGATTGCCATATAATTCCGTTGTTGCATTTAACGTTTGGTAAAAAATGCCAAGGGATGCCCTTTTTGCATTAAAATTGCACCCACAGCATAATATGAAGCATCAGCCGCAATCTCCCAAGTTCTCGTCCCCTTCCGGGAATTTTAACACCGGTGTATTAATTTAGAGCTGCTTTCAATTGTTTAAACGCCATGTTTGCCTCCCAATGTCCAAGAAAACTTCGATTTCTTTCATTTCTACACTAACAAAGGTTCAACAGTATTGGCAAAATTTTGAATGAAAGAATGGTAATACGAGCGCATGCCTAGAAAAGATGACAGTTTCTTTGCCAAATTTGATAGAGGATAATTTTTTACTGCTTTTATTTTGGAATCCTCAGTCTCGATACTCTTAGCTGAAATTTTGTACCACAGATATTGTAATTCTTTCATTGCAAACTTATATTTTGATGCATTAACAGTTAACCCTGCTTCCTTTAATAATGAAAAAAACTTCATGGAGATCTTTCACTGTTCCTCAATAGAATTCCTCAACAATTGTGCAATGTCAATAAAATAAATTTATGCATTGCAGTTTTTTAAAAATTTCCATATCATGTCAGTGTAGTCTCAACTCTGGTATTTTCAAAAGTTAGCCATATGTGAAATTTCTTTTGATCAAATCAGTTGATGTTACAACATATATTTTGCATAATTCCTGAGACAAACATTAAGGTTTCTGCAACATTTCTGCAATTTAATTTTACTATGAGTTCATGAGTTAAGTTCATTCCTTTTGTCATCCAAAAACTGAAACTGTATTTCCTGTAAGAATTAATGTGAAATGATTATTCTATCCCTACATTGTAGGTGACTGAAATCAAAATTTACTACAGTGCCTTTTGCTCGGTTTAATGACTAAGTGTTTTCACAGAAAACTGAATTGTATTCCCATTGCAGAATGGAACAAACCATAACTATCTTTGTTGCCAGCCTGTTTGCATGGGTTCAACGATAGGTCAAATTACTTGTTTTCAGTATTCTTTAATCATTTCACCATTATTGGGGCCTGCTTGAGATTCGGTATAGTTAATGTGAATTTTTTTGCTGTCCCTGTTTTAAAATGTTTCTAAAAGGAGACATAGCATACTATAGGCAATACAGTCAAAGTCAAAAGTCAAAATCCGGACTCATCGGGACTTTGGCGACTCCGGATTATCGATTTTTCCGGATTATAGATCATCAGTTAAATCTGGTAAGATGGCATGCAGAAATTCTAAAATTAAAAATATGAACCTGTAATTTATAAAATAATGAGCAATTATGATCTAAAGGGTATCAAAATTTACAAAAAAAGAAGCTTAATATTTATTTGTTTATTTTATTAAACATTTCTTTCAACGCGCGCATGCGTACCTTACGCATAGCCGAAATTAGAAAATTGCAACCAGAAAACTATTTGATTTGTATTCGTGATATTTATAATGACGAGGAATTTGATTTAAATCATATCAAAGACGGAGTACATCAAGATTAAATACTACATTTAGTAAGGAATTATAAGCCGAATAAAATAAAAACATCTGCTCTGAAGATAACGATAGTCCTGACAGATCAACATCCAGTTCAATGCGTGCCGCGACGTCCCTCCCCCGCACAGAGCAGCGTGAAATTGATAAACAGATTTCGGAACGGTTAGATAAACAAAGGATATACCTTTATTCATTTTATGTAGCAATTCGTTTTTTGTTTGATGGATATCGAAACATACTTTCGTTTTCTAGATCCTTTCGGAGCTCCAGCATCGGAAATTCTATTTGACATAATCGAAAGTTCAAAGCTTAGTTTTATAAAATTGCTCTTACAGTCTGCAAAAATAATAAGCCGGATCCAATTCGAAGATTAAGGAACGACGCAATCATCAACATTAACTGAAATAGATAATTAAATAATTTTAGCTTATACCGTCCATTATACATTAAACGCGCATGCGAAAACGTATTCTGTGCTTGCGCAGACGCATATGCGCAGTTGTAAATGTCTTGTGCGAACGCGTAAAACGGCTATGAGCATGCGTCAACGCGGCGCATGCACAGAAAGATTTTAGCTTTGAGGTCCGGATTATAGATCATTCCGGATTATGGGTGTCCGAATTAACGACTTTTGACTGTATTATTGACAATGCATATGCAGTAGCTTGTTGCTACTTTGTCAAGGAGGATATTCTGACATGAATTACTTCTCCTACAATCACCTTTTGTTGCTTTTTCTGATGCTATTCCATTTTTTTTCCTCTTTAAGCTCATTTTATTGGTGTTTAGTAATTCTTCGACATCTTCTGTGTTAACTTTCAGTCGCAATGTTTTGCATATGGAAACAGTATCATAGAAAAGAAAGAAATACTCAAATTAAAGTCCTCAAAAGTTTTGCGTGCAGCACACACTGGTCATGATTTCCTCCAGACTGAGTTTGCAGTCCTTTAGTAAGTCAGTGCTACTATCATTTATTAAAAGATTTTAAATGTATGTTTAACAGCCAGTCTCAGTCATTACATATTATGAATACAAAAGTTCTTTTTATTTTTTAATAGTGGTTAGAAAGTTTTGTCATTTTTCCAAAAATGTACTGCAAAATTATTGTTACCATGTTTTTACTTCCTTGTACAAAGGAAGTATTGTAATTGTGAAAAATTATGGGCATGGTATTTCAATGAAAGTATCCATTTTGATTGCTCTCAATTCCATTTGGTTGATGTTTTTGAATTACATTTGTACATATGGACAGAAGAAAGGACTTGTTTGTCCCAAAACGGATTGTGAAAGGGATTTAAAATAAATGGATTCATTAGAGGGTTTTTTTTTTTTTTTTTTTTTTTTTTTGGTGTGTGTGTGTGTGTGTTTGTGTATGTGTGTGACATCGGTACATACATGTATGTATCTCGCTTAACCCAAAAACACTCAAACATGCAAAAACGAGTAGCCTCAGAATGTTGAAATTTTGTTATATGGGACTGATATAACATGTTTATGTGCACCTACCTTTTTGGTTGCAGTCGGCTGCACGGAAAGTGTATAAGTATATGTATATACTTACCCAGCTTGGTGAACACACTTTTTTCATTCTTATATGCTAGTAGATTGTGCATTTTTTGCTTTGAAAGTGATTGAATTATATTGTTCTTATGTTCCAGTTAAGGCTTTCATTATGCCTTTAGTTAATATAGATGCAACAGTATAGAATTATCAACACTTTAAAAGTTATTCAAGTTTGAATGAGCCTAACGATGGTTTGTTTACATTTGAAACTTAGTAGTATAGTGATTTAAGTCTCTATCTGCACCAACTTCAGTGTCTTCTTGCTGAGTGGGGCCAAAAGTTTTGTGCACCAATAAAGCTGTCTTTTCGCCTAATTTTAATTTTTTTTTTTTTTTTTTTTGAGTCTATTTGATGCTTTAGATTTTTCTGTATTTTAAATTTTTAATGAAGGTGTTTTGGGTTTTCATATATTTTTTCCTTGCCATGAAGTGAGAACTAAGTTGACTGAATGAGAAATATATCTCTATTGAAATTTGGGGAAATAAGTTTAAATGAAATGCGTCAAAAAATGGGCATAATTTAATAGGCTGTATAAGAATGTCATATGGTGTCCACATCAGATTTTTAAAAAAAATAGTGGTACAAACTTTTATAATTGCTAAAGGACAAACTTTTATAACTCTGAAAATATGTAATAGATTTTATAAAAGGTTTTAGCAGTATGAAGTTTGATCATTAGTGATTTGTTTTTCTGTCAACTGGAAATGACTCTAGAAAATGACAAGAATGTACCAGTGTCATCAAGAAAGATTCTAGCGAAAAAATCAACTGGGACACGAGCTATTCAGTCTAAAAGCAAGCAAGTAACTAAGATTGAAACCTTTTTCTTATATATTTGTTGCTTTCTTCCTTCCCCCTTTTTTTCTTTCTTTAAATTTCTTCCCCCTTTTTTCCTTTCTTTAAATTGCTTCCCCCCTTTTTTCTTTCTTTAAATTTCTTCCCCCCTTTTCCTTTCTTCAAATTTCTTTCTCCTCTTTTTTTATTTATTCTTATATGGGTAGTTGTATTTTTATTTTATTTTTAAGGGACTTTTTACTTAAAAACTTAATATTATAGAGATGTAATTGTATATGATGTTATATGTATTTACAACAATTTTCTTTTTCCTGGCATTTTTCTGTGACATTGTATACAGTAATTATATTTTTGAAAAATGTCTGATTTTAGTGCATATCCTATATTGTTTTGTAATATTTTAAAGGAAGAGCACCTGATTAATAGAAGAATTATTTATGGGGCATAAAAACTTAATTACAAAGCTTCGTATATGTTATTTGATTGAAACCTGAATATTTCAAAGCATGAATAAGCTCATTCAATGTTGTATCACATCCCTTTTAAAAACAGTTAACTAGTAACTTTTCAAGACGCTCATTGTGGCACTTTTATATGTATTTGCTGCTTACTATACATTGTATTAAATATTTGGATGAGTATGTGGACACTTGGTTCATTCTCAAGAATTCTTAACTTTTATTAGCTAATGAAAATGTCAGAATTCTGCATTATGTATGCAGGAAATAATAAAGAAAAGACTCTGCATAATATATGCAGAGTCTTTTCTTTATCATTTCCTGACCTTCCTTTTCGTATCTCCTTCTCCCTTATAGAGAATTCTTTTAATGCATCTACAATTCTTGCTTTGTCATGAATTACCTCTTTCAAATGATGCTGTGATCCTGAATTTTGTAATTTGGAAAAACACTTAATGTATAGAAGTATATCTCCTAAAACATGGTAGAATTAATTTTAAATTTTAGCAAATTTCAGAAAAGCACTTGTGGCCAATTTAACAAAAAAGTACCAAATTATTATATATTGAAATGCAGAATTGGTAAATTTCTCTTTAAAAGTGTATTGAAATTTCATTATTTCTTTTTGACTTTGCACATTTTTTTGCATTCCTTGCTTCATTTCTTTCATGAAGCTTCATTTTAATTTGAATTTAAAAATTTGTCTTAATTTACCTTATTGACTTGCACTATATTAGTTTACTTGCAATGATGCTAATCTTCATCAATACCCTTGGTAGGCACTGATATAGTCAGCTTAATTTTAGTTTAAAATGTTGTTTAGGTTTAATGCATGGCTTGTATAAGTGGTATGTTTGTTAGCCACGAGTGGCTGTTAACTGTAGGCAAATAAGGGATTTTACTCTTAGAGCCTTATGTGGAGCCTAACATGGTAGAATTAATTTTAAATTTTAGCAAATTTCAGAAAAGCACTTGTGGCCAATTTAACAAAAAAGTACCAAATTATTATATATTGAAATGCAGAATTGGTAAATTTCTCTTTAAAAGTGTATTGAAATTTCATTATTTCTTTTTGACTTTGCACATTTTTTTGCATTCCTTGCTTCATTTCTTTCATGAAGCTTCATTTTAATTTGAATTTAAAAATTTGTCTTAATTTACCTTATTGATTGGCACTATATTAGTTTACTTGCAATGATGCTAATCTTCATCAATACCCTTGGTAGGCACTGATATAGTCAGCTTAATTTTAGTTTAAAATGTTGTTTAGGTTTAATGCATGGCTTGTATGAGTGGTATGTTTGTTAGCCACGAGTGGCTGTTAACTGTAGGCAAATAAGGGATTTTACTCTTAGAGCCTTATGTGGTTTAATTTCATTTTGATTGTCTACTAAATGTATCATTTATTCTATGTTATGTTTTACTACAGCCCATTTACTGATGACAGAGATTTTCTTGAAAATGTGCAGGAAATTTCATTTTCCATTTAAGGTAGAAAGGAATATTTCTAAGATTTTTCCTCCCAAGACTAACATACTTTCTTTATTATGTACTGCAAATATTCTCACCTATTTTTTATCATTACTTTTTGGAATTCTGTAGGTCATATATTGTTTAAAAAGCGAGAGACTGCAGTAAGATTATAAGAAAACACATTATTTTGCTTTCTATGGACCTCTGCTTTTATCAAATGGATTCAGTATTCTCGCATGTGTGTTAAATACAAGCATCGTAGGGTTCAGTGTAATGTGGCTGGACAGTAACTTCTTTTATTTTATTAAGGTATTTCTGTAACATTCTGTATGTTTGAGGTACAGAGTTTTTTTAATTTAAAACTTTCCAACCTCGTACTGATTTTCTTTCTTATAAAAAATGCTTATATTTTTATGCATAATATTTGTATGTCACATCATAAAACAGAACTCAGTTATCAGTAATCCTAATCATTCGTTTTTAATGCATAGGTAAGGTTTCATGTGTTTTAAAGGATTCGAAAATAACTATGGATTTAACAGGAAAAACACTTTAATTGCAGATATTTACAAAATTTAGAAGCAGTTATTCTTACAAACAACGTTAGAGCTTAATTTAAAACATAAAACTTAAAACAGAGTTGAGTTGTAGCTGGTATTACTCAAACAACCTCCCACCTTGCAATTTGTAGGATACCTATAAATTGAACAAAAGTTATAAATCAAGTCTATTGGGAATTTTAACATGTCGACCAGCTCTAGTGACAAAATCTGGGACTTTGGGTGATGAATCATCATCTTCACTGGAATCTGAATCATTAGCTGCAGGGCGTAGAGGCACTTTGATCCCTTCTAGCATCTTGGGCAATAAATGGTAACGTTTCCGAACTGTTGATTTCTAATGGATGAAGTTTCTGGAATGGTCTCAACTTGTCTCCATCAGCTGTTCTCACTCTGGCAACTCTTGAGTGCCCATCTGCTCCAGAAAAGACTTCAATGACGATTCCTAAAAGTCAATTGATACGCTTGCCATCAGTTTCTAGGAGAACGACCTTACCTTTATGAATCAACATTGCTAAATACTCATTCCAAAATTTCATTCTTAAATCCTGCCGTAATTTTTGTACAAAACACAATCTTATATTTAGGATTTTACTGTCGATTTCATCTAAATCAGTTGTTTCACTGCTAGGAATACTTTGTAAGAAACAAGCGGGAGTTAATGGCTTCAGACCTTCCGAATTGTCTTCAATATATGTAAGTGGCCAAGAGTTTATTGTAGCTTCGCAGTCACATAGAATAGTTTCCAACTCTTCATAGTCGAGACTTTTCCTGCCCAAAATTCTTCTTAGCATCTCTTTCAACATTCTAACCATGCGCTCCCACCATCCTCCCAACCAGGCGGTCGTTGGAGGGTTGAAATTCCATTTGATTTTCTTGATAGTGGAAAATGACAAGATCTTCCAATCTAAATTTTTTAGAGCTTTGCTTGAACCAATGAAGTTTGTCTCATTGTCAGTGTAGATTATATTTACTCTACCTCTCTGAGCAAAGAATCTTTTTAAAGCCATAATAAAAACTTCTGTAGACAGGAAATTGACTAATTCAAAATGGACAGCCCTATAAATGGCACAGGTAAAAAGTACAACCTATGTCTTTTTACCAGAATGCAAATACAAAGGGCCTGCAAGATCAATCCCTAAAACTTCAAAAACTGCAGTGGCCTTTATTCTGTTCTTAGGAATAGGCGCAAAAGGTGGTTCTGTAGGTTTGGCTTTGAATTTTTTACATGAAATACAACTAGAGCTAACTTGTTTTGCTAATCTATTGATCGAAATAATCCAGTAAAATTCTTGTGACTTCCATAACCATTCTGGACCTTCCCACCGTTTGCTTTTCAATAAATTCTTAGCATCGCAACCTCTTTGAAGGCAAATCTGCTGGGTTTATATGCCCTGGCACAAAATGCCAGTCATTCAGGTTTGTATTCCTTCTTATTTCTGTGGCTCTGTTTCCTACAAACGTATTCCAGAACTCTCTCTTTTGATCCAAGTTAAAGCAACAGTTGAATCAGTCCAAAAATACTATTGTCTTTCAATTCTAGTCCGTCTACAACTTGACCATATAATCTTGATAAGATCAAAGCTCCCAAGAGTTCTAATCTAGGAATTGTAATCTCTTTAGTAGGTGCCACTCTTGACTTACTCATTACTAACTTTACTGAAATCTTCTCATTAAATTCAGGATGTAAGAAAATACAAGCAGCAGAGAAACTTCACTGGCATCACAGAAACAATGTTGACTTATTCAGCAGCCTTCAAATGGACTTGAGACAAGTCTCCGTGGAATCTTACATTCTTTCAGTAAAGATAGCTCCTTGATCCAGGATAAAAATCTATTTGATATATCTATTGGAAGTGCATCGTCCCAATTAATTTTCCTCTTCCAAATGTTTTGAAGCAATACTTTAGGTATCAATGGAACATAGGGTCAAATAATCTTTGGGCAGCCGATAACACAACTCTTTTAGTAATCCTCTTTTCTGGAATTTCAACCATACTGCCTCAAAAATGTTCATCGGTTTCAGTGTCCCAAAAGAGACCTAGACTTGAAATGAATTTTTCATGTGTCTCTTCTACAATTTTTTCAAAAGTAACCCAGCCTCGTAGTTTGAATTGTGCTGAAGACACCAGCTCCTTAGCTTCAGAAATAAATTTTTCTGCCTCTTCTTTAGTTTCTAAACTCGTAATACAGTTGTCCACATAAAAAGATTCTTTGAGTTGCTATGTGCTTCCTTTTATGCGGAGCGTTCTCTAGATAGTAAGCTATAGTTGCTTCTAGTAAAAATGGACTAGGAGAAGCACCAAATACCACTCTACAATGTCGGAGAGTGATTATTTTTTCTCGTCTTAATAAATCCTTCGACCACAGAAATTAAAAATATTCCCTGTCCTCTGGATTCAAACTGATTTGTAAAAATGCTTTTTTGATGTCTGATGTTATGCCAATTTCGTTTTTCCGAAACTGCATTATCAATTTGGGTACCAATTCCAATAAACTTGGCCCTTTTTCTAAACA